TTAGTAAAATATTAAATATTTTTTGTATCTTATTCAAATAGGAGAAGGGGTATATATACATACAGACGGATTCATATATGATAACCAACATTAATTATCCTATTTATTTTCTTCTTAATTATACTAATATATTTGGAAAGATAATCATACTATTATATACAAAATATATTCTATAATATTCTAATACTCCCCGTCAAGTTGGAGCATAAATATTAATCATGTTCAGTTTGTTACAAAAATGATCAATCCGTGTTCCATTTAGAGGGTTTGTAAATACATCACCAAGTTGTTCTACTATTTTCATATAATCAATAGATATAAAGTTTTTCTAAATCTTCTCTCAAATGAAATGACAATCAATATCGATACGTTTGGTTCTCTTATGATACAATGGATTTGAAGTAATATGAAAGGCAACCTGATTATCGCATCAAAATTTTGCAGGAGATGTGGGTTTCAAATTCATTTTATCTAAAAGATGATGTATCAATAAGACTTTCATGTAGACGGAGTCGTAATTCTATATTCGGACTTTGCGCTTGAGTAAGATAGTATTGTTTGCTTCTTATTTTTTCATAATATGAGATTTCCACCAAGAAAAATACAACAACTCATAGTAAATCTTCTATCAATTTTAGATCCAATCTAATCAGCATTTGTAAAACATTTAATTGAGTATACCCATGATTTTTAAACACTGTCAAGTGCTGGGGCACCTTTTAAGTATCACAAAATCTGTTACAGAACTTTTCAGTGTTTGACAGTAGGTGCAGATCTAAATTGACTCGCAACATTAACAGGATATACAATATCTGGACGAGTCACAGTGAGATAATTCAATTTTCTAACTAATTGCCTGTATTTTTCTGGACCATCAAGGGGATCCCATCATCTTTTGTAAGATGTACATTTGGTACTATTTGTGTCTTGTATAGCTTAGATCTCAGTTTTTCTGTTTTTGCAAGTAAATCACGTACATACTTTTTTCTAAGATAGCAAAATCTCTTCCTTATTTATTGTTATTTCAACTCTCAATAAGTATTTAGCTATTTCAAGTCTTTGGTATGGAACTTGGTATGCAAGAATGACTTGAGAAATGATATTCCTGCATGATCATCTCCTGTAATCATAATATCATCAACATAAATAATAAAAAATATAATATCAGCTGTTGATTGTCTATAAAAGACCGAATGATCACACACTTTTCTTTAATTCAAACTCATATGCTATTTCACTAAACTTGTCAAACCACGCACGGGGATTTTGCTTCAAACCATGTAAATATTTCTTCAAATGACAGATTTTCTTGTATTTCCCTGAGCAACAAACTCGAGTGGTTGTTTTATATATACTTCTTCTAAGAGATTACTATAAAGAAATGCATTTGTAATGTTCAACTAGTGTAAAGGTCAGTCTTAAGAGGCTGCAATAGAGATGAATAAATAAAAAAAGATAAGTTTGGCCACTTGAAAGAATGTATTAAAATAATCAATCCCATATATCTAAGCATTCACTATCGGTCGAGGTTTAACTTTCGTCACAGAGTTATCTAGATTCACTTTGACTGCAAATATCCATTTCCACCCTACAACCCTTTTTCCTTTGGATAAATCCATCAGATCCCAAGTATGATTATTATCAAGAGTGTTTATCTCCTGAAGTATGACATTACGTCAACCAAGATTATTCAAAACTTTCTTAACTATGTTGGGTATAGAAGTTGAATCTATCGAAACGATTAAAGAGTTAGATGAAGGAGACAAGTGATCATATGAAATAAAATTAACAATGAGATAAGTAGAGTGAAGAAGGGTGTATTGACGTGTACCTTTACAAAAACTGATGGGAAGATCAAAATCATGTGTGGAATGATCAGATGACGAAGAAGTTAGTACATGACATGTATTATTAGTCTATTATCTCCTGAAAAAAAATATGAATAATTGGCAATTGTACTTGAGTTTGAGGCATACCATCATCAGTTTGCTCAACTACAATAGAAGGCACATCGAGAAAAATACCATTATTTAGTTGCTCCATAGAGATACTGGGCTGGAACCTATAGATGAGGCATTTATCGTCCTTCACCTGATCTGTAAAACTGGACGATGAGACAAAGAATGATATATTCTCTGAAAAGATTACATCGGTTGATACTAGGTATTTGTTTAGGTGTGAAGAGTAACACTGATATCTTTTTTGCATGCGAGAATATCTCAAAAAGACACACTTCAAGGCTTTTGGATCCAACTTAGTTATAACTTATTTGGAAAAAGAATATTGTAAGGAATATTACCTTCAAGTACTATAGATGGTAAATGATTAATTAAGAAATAGGCAATGAATACAACATCGGCTTAGAATTGTTTGGGAACCTATGTTTGGGATAAAAAGACTCGAGCTATCTCAAGTAAATGTCTGTTCTTTCTTTCAACAACTCCGTTTTGAGATGGTTTATCAACACAAGAAGATTGATGAATCTCTTGTTGAGTCATATAATTCCAAACTGAATCTGACATATATTATTTGACAATATTACTCCTTAGCACGTGCACAGAAATATTAAAGTAGGTTTTAATTTCCGCATAAAAAACACAAAAATTAGCAAACACTTCAGAACGATTTTTCATAAAATATATTCAAATTATTTAAAAAAAATCATCCATAAAAGTAATAAAATATTTAAACTTTATTTTAGACATAACAGGATATAGACCCCAAAATATTTAAATGAATTAATTCAAAAGCAGACTCAACTCGTTTATTAATTCTTGAACTTGATGAGTTACGGTAACGTTTTGCACATTGACATGACTTACAATTTA